TCGATCATTCTTGTTTTCCAACAATCGAGTGAGCTAACAAATTTACCTAGATAATTCAAATGAGAAATTTGGGGGGGACTATTATATTAGTTATTTGAAATTTTGATTACCACTTGAAAATTGTATATTTTTAAAACTAAACATGTATTGCTTATGACAACGACATTACAACAACTGTTTGGGCCGATTAGTTAATATTGTATGGAGATAAATTGTATTGTGAATATAGGTGGCAATTGGATTGGATCAAATAGATTGATGAATTGATAGATTGTACCAAGTGGATTGATTCATGAATAATGACATCCAAGTCTTGGATCATTATGTAAATTTTGAAAAGTTTGGGTACTAAATGTTATAAAAAAAAATTAGGTTCCAAAAAGAAATTTTCTAATGATATTTTTTCGTATAAAAAATAAATTCTAGGTACCAAAATATAAAGTATAAAAAGTACAGATACTAAATCGTAATTTGCCATTTGGATTCATGGATCAATCCATGAATCCACCAATTAAATTGGATTTGGATAAAATAGATTGAATTTAAATGGATGATTAGATTAGTTGGATATTTTGATGGATAAATTATATTGGATATTGTGAAGACCAATCTCCCCACAGGAATGTCTTTTACATTTTGGAGTACTGCTTGTACATGGGCGCTGGGCTATGCTTGGGCCGGCACGGCACGGGCACGCCTGGGGCCCATTTATTTTGTGTCGTGCTTGGCACGGCCCGTCAGTTTTCGTGTCGTGTCATGCAAGCCCATTTGTTAATTTTGCTAGGCCCGGCCCAGGCACGGGCACGGTTCGAATCGTGTCGTGCCTATTCGTGCTCGTGCCATGCTCGTATTCTTGTTTAATGAAAAGGACGAAAACAAAAGAGAGAATGAAAAAGAAGGTGAAAATTGGACGGGGGAAGATAGTATTAACCGATAATGTTTGAGAAAAGTAACAAATCAGGGGGGAAAGAAAATTGGAAGTATAGTGAGTGTGATTCGACTTTGTTTAATTCTTTGTCCATTTTTACTTATGTTAGTAATTACGTATATATATCTTTATGACACTTCTAACAACAACAAAAATTATTTTTCTACTTGTGTTTTGTAATATTTGAACTTATAATTATTTTTATATTTATTTTCTATCAAATAAATATTATTTTTCTGCCATGTCCATTCTTATACTCAATAAAGTCTCGAAAATATTAGGCCTGACATGACCCACTTATATACCGTGCCGTGCTCATGCTCGTGGTCGTGCCCATGAAATTTAGGCCCGGCACGGCCCATAAATTATTCGTGCTCGTGCCGGGCTGGCCTATTTATTTCGTACACGTGCTCGTGTCGTGCTCTAACCGTAGCGTGCTAGCCCGTGGGCGGCACGGACCGGTGCCACGTACAGTACTGCTTGGACCATCTCCCTATTCATCTGATTACATGATTCAATTCAATTTGGTCCCCTCCCCAACCAACTCCTTTTTTTTTTTTTTTTTTGTAATCTCTTGCCACCTACTTCTTTACCAATTACTATTCTAAAAAAAATTGGGTTTCATTTTAGCCATCGAGTTGTGGGGTCCAATTTGTGATCTGGATCCAGAAACACCGGCCCATCCAGGTTTCATTCATATAGAAGATTTGGATTCAAAAAGATAAATAAATTTATCAATGAAGGCCCAAGTTACGATCTTGATCCAAAACCCAACATCACTGGATCCAGCCTGAAACAGTCAAACAGAAGACAGTAAGTAGAGATGGCAATCAAATTCATGGCCGCGAGTACCCGACCGCCCCATACCCAGTCAATGCGGGGAATCCCCGCTTTGACCGGGTATGGGGCGGGTATGGGTAAAACCGGCGGGTATGGTTTTAGCCTCCCCCACCCCATACCCATACCCATACCCGCCCCACCAAGAGAATTTCTTCACATATCAAAAAATACGTGGATTAAATTGTAATCTATCAATGATGATGATGATAACTCGAGAAAATAAATAGTAGAAAAGCAATTGAGTAACCACCTTAATCAAAACCTAATTCATTTCCCTCAATTCTCCTTCCACTCTTTCACTTTCCCCCTTGTCAACAAAATTATGTTAGTTAATTATTACTTAGTAAATGTATCAAGAGTTAGAGCATAATAATTTAAAAAATATTATAGTCAATATTATGTATTAATGGATGTTTTAGGATCATATTCTTTGAATCGTATTTAGAAAATGACCGTGTTTTGTTGACTTCGTGATATAATAGGTTTGTTTATGGTTATAATTAAAACTTTTCTTGTAAGTTTTAGGTATAATAATGTTGGATGTACGGGGATGGGTATTACCCATGGGTACCCGAAACCCACGGGTATGAGGATGTGTTTGCAAAACATTCCCCGCATGGGTATGGGGCGGGTATGGGTTTGGGTATTTGAAGATGGGGATGGGGATGGTTTAGGCAAACCCGCCCCAAACCCGTCCCATTGCCATCCCTGTCAGTAAGTATAGCCGAAACCAGGCAAGGTTCCCGACATTGTTTGATTTCAGCAAAAGAAATCTTTCTTTGGGGAGTTTGAGTTTGTTGTAACTGTGGAAACGTTACGTATGTAAAGTGAGATGGCCTCGACTTCTCCAAAGTTACCTTGTTCTGTAAACAAGCTCTTTGAGATAGGGACAAAAACAGAAGGCATTGAGAATTATAGAATATAGAATAACTGGCACACGTTGTTATTCTCTATTCTTTATATATATATATGGGGCTACTTTGGTGCACTCACTTTTTTGGTGCATTCAGTGCACCCATTTCTAAAAGTGTCCATAATATATCAAATTTTGAACTTTAATTAGTACTCTCAATCTAACATGATGATATGACATAGAATCATAACAAATCAATTTATTACCCTAACCCCTTAACCTTCAATTTTGAATCACAATGCAAAATCCCAAACTGTAAACCTAAACCCTAACCCTAAACTCCTAAATACTAAATCCTTCAAATTAAAGTAAATCTTAAATGATTTTTTTTCAAATTCATGGGCTTATTGTTCATAATATCGTAAGCAACAATTGATATTATTTTGACATGAATCGCATGCTCAAAATGATGATTATGAGGCGGGTGCGGCAGTGTACCCAAAAAGTGGGTGCGCCGAAACGCCACCATATATATATATATTGTTCATTGCTGCAGTTCTAATTTGCTGGAGCTCTAATTGGTTGTTGTTTCGACGTGACGAACGTTTGGGTCGATTGCATATATGATCACCAAATCGTCAAGAGAACTTGTCTTGTAGAATTGGTATCCAAAGCCAGTCTGTCCATGTATTTTAAATTACTGGGAGAAGTATAAGAATCTATCATTTCATTTAAAATTCACAGATAACTCCGTCATATCATGCACGCAGTTATTCTTAGACTCGGTCCAAAATTTCCATCCCCTTCATAAATGCTAGTAAGAAGTTTTATTGATTTGGACAAATATGCCCAATTGGGAGTATCAAAATGTGTTGATTATTTATTTCCGAACTTAAGATTCATGAATAGCTAATAAAATAGGAAGTCCAATCAGCATTCGTGGCAACTTCGCGATTTGTGGTATTGTGCCATATCGGCAACCCGTTCATCGCTATACATTAGCCGCTTTCGACTTGGTATTGCACCAGTAGATTACTATATATCTTGTTATAGTATCATCTTGGCAAACGACATCTCATTATCGAGGAATTTTACAATGCTTTAGGGGTCGTTTAGATGGATCAATCTAGAAATGAGTCAATTTGATCAATTGTCTCGTTTTAGAAACGAGACAATTAAAACGAGTCACTTCGAATTACCTGCCCCCACCCCAGGTAATTAAAATTGACTCAAAACGGATCAATTCAAAATACCTCAGGCAGATTGATCCATCCAAATTTTTTTGCTGGCAAACGAGGCAATTAGATACAATTGTTCCGTTACAATTCCTCATCCAAACGACCCCTTAAAGCATTGATACTTATAGTTTTCGTATTTATGGTATAACTTCATATTGTACCATATTATACAAGTTAAGATTCTCTAATTAATGATAAAACTACAATTTGTACTTTTAATGTTATAGTATAACTTCAATCTGTAATTTGAAGCACCAATACTTTACAGCCTATTTGGATACAATTCCATAAGAAATGGAAATGGATTTCCATTCTCAATTCTAACTTTTATGGAATTTCATTTCCAATAGTTGTGTTTGGCATAATTCCAACAACTATGGAAATGAATTGTACTCTTTAACAATCATTAATGATTTAATAGATTTTTTTATCTTGAGAAATGAAATACTAATGAGAGAGAAAGAGATGAATAAAATAGTGGAGTTATAAAATAATAATAAATATGAATGGATCCCACTAATTCCATCTCCATAAACTCAATTCCTATCACTTTTGATAGGAATTCTAATTTCCAATATTTGGGTCAAATGGAATTCATTCCCAACCTTCTTACCATTTCAAACATAAAATAATAAAATAGAATTGAAAATGGAATTCCAATTCCTGAGTTTTTTGCCCATCCAAACAGGCTATTAGTAGAAAGTGGTCTTTAATGGTATGTTGTTAAACTATAATAATTGTCATCATTGAAAACCCATTGGATATGACTTGTTCAGTACAGTCTCCACTTTCATAGATAGAACACGGGGGATTTTGGCGGGAACGGACAATCTAAACGAACAAAAAAATTCTGACCGCAATATCCTCCCTCAAGAATATAACAAGCCGAAGCCAAAAAATCGGCTTTTTCCGGCGTCGAACGAAGGCGTCAGCGCGCAAAACGACAGAAAACAAAGATGAATTAGTAAGAATTACTGAATTAGTAAGCAGGGAAGAGGTAATTTGTTGTCGGTTCGGCGTGTAATGGAATCGTAGAAGACGGCCATGGCGTGGCGCTACATGTTATAAATGGTCGAATGCTCATTTCACTAAACCCATTTCATTTTTGTTCCTTAACGACGGCAAATAAAAGACAGAGTGAAAGAAGAAAAAAAAGATCTTTCCGGCGACCGGAAAAAACAGAGTGGATCTGACAATGGACGTTTGGGGAGGAGGTGTAGTGTTCGCCGCCACGGCTCTTTTGTTGTCCTCCATCGCCTTTCTTCCACTCCCTCCGCCGGCGGGTTCGTCTCCTCGCCGCCGATCTTCTCCGCCGACGACTTCCTCTTCTCCCTCTCCCGCCGCCGATGACCATGGTACCGAATGTAGCACGAAATTCAATTCTTTTAATCTCTTTCAACGACTCGAGTTATTGAGCCGTTGCATCACGCGTAGATTGTGTGGCCGTTTGTTCTTGAAACTTAATCAAAACGTCAGATAATGATCGATCTAACCCACTTGGATTCTATCGAAGGAGTATGTTAGCTATAACTTGAAGATATATTGTATGTCGTCTACGAGAAGTTACGGGGTCTCATTAGTGAGACCGTGTTATACTCTCTCAAGTATAGTGAAACTAGTCTCTAATTACTCGTGGGTGAACTAACACATATCATGTTAATAAACCACGTAAAATCTGCGTGTTCTTTACTTTCTTCTATTGTCGATTTCCATGCGATAGAATCAGTTGGATATTGTCTAACTTGTTTCTGTTTCGTGTTTGGAACAGGGGCAAAGCTGGACCAGGCGATAGCGTGTGGTCTGATGGTGTTGGCGTTGGCCGTCACCTACATTGTCCATTGATGCCACAGACATGGAGGAAGAGATTGAAGGAGACAAGAGTACAGATCCTGTTTTTTCCCCTTTTGGTCGGATCCTCCTCTCATAATCTTCAACCTTTCCCTGTCACCTTCTTCTTCTTGTAACTGTCGTCCTGTACTGCTTACTAGCCGACTTCCTAATCCATCTGGTAAATCAGTTTGTGAAGTTTTTCGGGAGTTTTTATGTTCGAGCTGTAGCAAATGTACCCAACTTGCAGTCTTGCACCTGCGCTAATATAAAAAAAAAACCTTGCATATGAATGAAGTTTCCATTTCATATCGCATTTCTGATTATCCAACGGTCGGTTTAATCAAGTTTAGGGCAGACAAGAACTTCAAAGACAATAAGATTCTAACGTATCGATCATACAACTACATTTCCGAATTGCAAATTACAAAACTAGCTTGCAACTCTCCACAACCTCGTCAATGTTCGAAGGACTTATAGACGAGTATGCTTCACGTTTTGTAGGAATTTCGTAACATCATATCTCGTCTTTTTCATCAATTCGAGTGAGTGAAATCAATGTCTAGATACGGACTTATGTAAATATCAAACATATAATAAAACTATACAAGTTCAACCACCAAACCTACACACAATCAAAGCGCTCTTGGGCTTCCACAATCCTATTAATGGTACATGAAAGCACAATCACTAATGCAATGCAACCCTATCTCTGTACAAATACTCATGCTCATTCGCTTATCAAGCACCAAACTACCTACACGAAGGCCACACAGAGGAAAGGTCTATAATTTGCTAACCAGCCTATAAGAGCAATCAAAGGAAGGAGCTGTAGCTGCTGCTCGGGGAGATCGCTACCAAAATCCTACTCCTGGTGCTGCTGCCGCAGCCACGAGCATCAAGCAAGAGACGATTCGACCTGCTGCTGCTGATATTGTGAGCATCAAGTGAGAGACTAGCAAGGCGGCGGAGTCCCCGACTCCAGTGCTCTGCAGATGCCACAGTGGTTGATGTCACCCTCACGGCTGATCAAGGAGCAGGAAACTTCTATCAAGGTTAAATAAATAAAAGAATACAGTGTTTGTAGTTGTTTTGTTCAATGTTAACTGGTTAGTTTATGTTTGTTGGGTTTAAGAATGAACAGCAATCATAAGCAAAAACCCCTCAGACAAAATCCATTATTGTACTCTGCCCAATTTCCAGTTCAAGTGATCAATGAAAATGCCACCAAAATTTCACAGCTTGGGAAGCTGAAGAGTAAAACTATGCAGAGAAGAGGGCGTTTCTATTCCGTGGCATAGCAATGCTCTTCGTAGCCTACAGGAAAAGAAATGAGAAAGAAACTAAACCTAAAGACAAAAACTTGCAGGCTTTTCAATAAGGCCACAAAAACTTCACCAGTAAACAAAACTGACTCTTCTCTTGTTAAACTGTTGTTTTGCTGCTACACCTACTTCTTTTACCCAACCTTTTCTTTCTCATTCCCTATACTCTCCCAAGGAACATTTGTCATGACTATGAACACTAGAAACAAAATGGTCAGTCAGTGAGACCCCATCTGATGCTTTCCCTCCTAAGCGGATTCATACCGAGAATGCAGTGCATACTTCACCACCTCGTAGAACGAGACCACAATGCCAACAGAAGGACCTACTCTTCCAACGCGAGCACCGACACCAGTGAAAAGTGTCCTCATTCCTCCATCCCTGTTCATCCATATGAAAAGCATGATTAGTATCAAGCTACTGCTACCAATGGCAAGATAAAGGCTTGATGAATTCAGAAAGGGAAGTTACCTCCAGATCTCCATTAGCGTTCGCCTTGTTGTCATACTTAGTGCCCTTACAGGATCCATCTGGAAGTCGAGACAACAAGAAAAAGGAAAGTTATTTTACTGTCAAATATGAGAAACTACAAAATGTAAGCATCTACTATCTGTTGAATTATGAAACCTTGGAAGATAGCACTAACCTCTATCTGCCTTCGAGTTTTAGCAACATCAAGGGGACACGTTGCAGCTGCAGCAACACTTCCTGCGATGAAACCAGCCGAGAAGTTGGCTCCGAGCACACTGACTACATTCGCGTCATCGCCAACCACACTAAGAAGATTTCTCCTCATCTGTGAGGCCAAAAGAAAGAAGGGAAGTCAAAAAAGATATCCCAGCTAAACATACATAGAGTTGAATCACAATCCATTAGCAAAAAACTACTATTAACAGGTTCTTTATACTTAACGGGAAAGGAGATGTGCTCACAGGCTCAAGTAGTGCCCAACAAATTCCAGAAAATGGAACGTCACGGGCAAGCTGTGCTCCCATGCCTGTCCACAGTAGCCGGTAACCTCTCCCTGTTGCAAGAGGGCATGTCAATTATAATCATATAACTTCCCATCCACCAGAGACTATTCTTTTACAATAAACTAAAACCATACAACTTTCAAATCAACAGAGCTCAGAAATTCAGTAAAATCCGACTCACAATTAGTTCGAGGGTTATCCGTGCCTTGCACGTGAGTAAGGGCTTCAAGTAGAGTTTTCAGAACTCCAGGAGCTTTACCATTTTGCGCAGCCTTGAATGCCTATGATTTGAGTCAAAGAAAGCGATAAGAGAAAAGCCATGAACGTCCCAGCTAGGTAAAACAAAAGGGAAGTGAGAGACAGAGAGAGAACCATCCGATAGAGGGGATCAAAGGAACCAAACTTCACTGCTGGATATAAAGCAACCAAAAGGGAGTCTTAAAATACCTGCATGCGAGTTCTGGCAAGTTCAACAGGATAGCAAGTCATACAAGCTAATGACCGTGCCAGTGAGCCAGCTACCAAGGGAACATATGGTGCCGCACCAGGAATACTCTCAGAGGTTTTTTCCTCGAGCCATAGGCGGAATACATCATATAAGGGTAAGTAAATGCCGACCTGCATAAAACAGGATGTGAACCACCATAAGCTTAAAGCTACACTACCAAGAGTGCCAACATCCAAATAAACTAAGCCTTCGTAGCAATTCCACAGATCAGAAGTAACTTACAGTTGGGACAGCTAGAGCAAGAGCCGCATTTGTGCCCCTCCACAGCCTGGCAAACCCTTCCTGCAAGTATCACCCTTTTTTGTTCAACAATTGGTGTTCGATCAATATAAAAAACAAATGCAAGAATACATAAACACCACTTTTCACATCATTGAATGCAAATACTAACAACAATAACACGCCTGTCTTACTAACAACAATAACACACCTGTCTTACGATCTTGTTGAAGACATCGAAGGTTCCTTTGTACTGAAAACAATCAGGAGGGCACATGGACACTGTCCCGTGAAGTCCAGCACGAGTACAAGATGGTGAGCATCTAAGATCAGCAAACAACTGGCAAACAAGGCCGAATGTCACTCAACAGACTATTCAAAACACGAAATTATGATTGACAGAAGCAATTGGAGCAGAAAAGAAGAAGAGATATCTACCATGGTCGGACCAAAGTAAGCCATGCGATTTACGACATTACTAAGTGGATGAGAGTAAGCAACTCCAGCTGCCTGTGCTTGCAGCCTCGTCTGTTCAATGGAACAATAAGAAATTGATCAATGCCCCATCAATGCAATGCAATGCAATCAACTCCCCTATCCTACCAAACTAACTCCACATACCACTATTATGCGATGTATAACGAAATCCCAAATCAAGAATACCAACCAAGAAGCATCAATCGGAACGAAAAAACCAGAAAACACACTGACCCACATAGCAAGAGGCTCTACCCACCAATCCCAAATATGAAAGATCAAAGATTTCCCACATTTCCCCCATCAATCATTTTCCAATCTCAAGAACGCGAAGAAAGTACCATGCAAAGCCGTTATTACCTTCACAACGTCAAGAGGGTTTACTATAATCGCCGATAGGAAAGCGGCCCCTGCCGCAGAGAGCGCTCTCTCGCCAAGTCCTAAACTTTCATCGCCTTTACCGTTGTTTGTCTGGTGATCCTGCTGAGCCGAGAAGCTCCCCGGCCGCACGCCGTCGCCGGCGACCGCCATTGGCTCCCCCTGCAATTCCAGAGCTGCTGTGATTCCGGGAATGGGGATCGGCTCTGCGTTCAACCACGGATTCCGGCGCCGCTCTACCTCGGCCATAATATCCTCTCCCCTCCCTTCGATAGCAAAAGAATCAAAGAGACGGCCGAACCAGTCGCGGAAAGGGGGGAAAAGTAGCCTTCTTTTTTCTTCTCACTTTCCGGGTTCCGGCACATTTGGGGAAAGAAGGGTTTCCATAACAAACTAGAGAAATATGCTTTTCCGAGAACCGGAGGAAGAGACGGTTTGCGCCAATTTGCGGGTAGTAGGCCGCGTTTGGCTGGCTGATGTCTGAAACCGACTTTGAGCGAAGGGATATCAGTTTCATCCCTATACTTTTCCATATATGCAATATTGGTCATTCAATGTATTGTTATACTATTTAGGTTTAATACCTTATTATGGCCCGAACTATGACCATATAATTAACTTTGATCCGTGGTTTGAGGAATTAACATCCCGAACCGAACTATGTAGCATATAGACTCAATTAACCCGATTCATGAATTTCCGTCAAATTAGACGGTGGTGTTAACTTGTTTTGTTGGTAACTTAACCAGGATAAGCTTCTTCTTTTTTTTTAATGTAAAAGGAAGAACACTACACAACAAGCTTGAGCGTAGGGATGGCAACCAAACCCGAACCCACGGTTACCCACCCGACCCAACTCGGTCAACGCGGGTAAAATTCGTGTTGACGGGTTTTGGGCCGGGTTTGGGTTTAAACCCGTTCACTATTCACCAGGTTGGGTTTGGGTTTAGATAAACCCGACCCATGGGTACCCGCCCACACCCATATAATTAATTTTCTCGGCATATTTAATATTTTAGACAACTAATCTTATTTATTTTTGTGGAGACATGTCTAATTTTTTCTTTCTAGTTATGTAGAATGAAGTTGATGTTATCGAGTGGAGAGTGAAAAACTTAATTGAAAGCTATTAATCATGTTATTTATGGATAATTTGTGATTTCCTTCAATTTTCTTAAGTTTTTTAGATTGGTGTTGAACAATTTGTATAGTTAATTTATGATTTGCTTAAATATTTTAGAATGGTGTTTTATATATGGATAATTTGTATTGAGACATTGATATTTGACTTTAATTTTGATAGAAACTTGTTATTGTGAATTTTTTACTACAAAAACCTGTGAGTACCCATGAACCCGCGGATACCCAGCGGGTTGGGTTGGGTTTGAGCTTTTCAAACCCAATAGATTTTATCCTGGTTTTTTTTTTATAAACTCATGGATTTGGATTTGGGTTTGGCAAAACCCAACCCAACCCGACCCATTGCCATCCCGGAGCGGGATTTTGGCCTTTATCTTCGTATCAACAGAGTTGATTCTGTTGATAAACAATCCTTGATTGAATGTTATTCCGCTCGCGAAACTTCACCAATGACTCAATCCTTTCCCCTTTCCTCTCTCCCTCATTCTCCACCACATTGTTCTCCTCCGCCGCCGCCGGCTCTTCCTTCCTTGAATCCGTTTGTTTTTCCACCGCTATGGCGACCAGTAGGAAACGAAGTCGTCGGATCCGATCAGAGCCAAACCCTCCTCCTTCCATGATCAGCAAAATCGGAGATGATATCCTATTAGAGATTCTCATTCGCCTCCCGAACCCTAGATCCGCCTGTCGCTGCAAAGCCGTCTGCAACCACTGGAGGTCCTTGATCTCCGACAACCGCTTCAATCGCCGGTTTGTTTCTCACCACCAGACTCTGCACAAACAGCAGACTCTGCCCCTTCACATGAACGACGCCACTGACCAGCAATCAGTCGTCATGAGCTTTCTCCCGCCCATGCCTGATAGAGTTCGAGAGTGTTTCAAAGTCTTGGATTGCTTCAAGGACATGCTTTTATGTGGGTTTAGGGATGTTAATGAGGCAAATGATGAAATCGGGAGATCGTACGTGGTCTGCAATCCGTTTACCAAGCAATGGATGGCTCTTCCTTTAGCTCCTGAGAAGCCAGAGGATTATGCTGCCTCGGTTACAAGGTTAGTCTGTGAACCCCGTAGTAGTAAAGGTCACTTTAAGCTTGATCTAGGAGATGACCAAGTATTTGCTTATTCGGAGTATCGGTTCCGTGTGGTGTGCATATATCAACATGAGACCTCTATCAAACTGGACGTGTTTTGTCCGGAGTCTGGAAAATGGACGAAGGAGGCTGTTGTTTATGATGGTTATCACAGACTCTGCCACAAAAATGTATGTTCGTGCAATGGGAAGCTGTTTTGGTTATGTGTTGAAGCCGGAGAGGGATACAATGATGCAGAGTTGACAATGTTCCAGGAGTTGAATCGATTCCCTGAGGTGAATCCTTTCCTGGCTGTGTTTGATCCCTTCCGCCTTGATATACACACAACTAGTATTCATGTTTACGAATACTCTGAGGATGTGAAGTTGGATATTTCGGCCACACAAGGTGCTTTGCACATAATTGAGTTTGAAATAAAACCTAGACATGCTCGTTTAAGAGTTTGGAGATTGGAAGACGATCATGAGTCTTGGAGCGAACTCCCTGGAGGGTTGTTGGAGAGGCCATCAAGGTGTAACTATGAAATTGAGCACTGCAAAATCCTCGATCTGCATCCGGAGAAGCCTGAAGTTGTCTTCTTCCAGTATGTACCTCCTTCCGTCAGTGGTGATGCTATATTGTGCTGTGACCTAAGGAAGGGAGAGCTAGAGTTCGTCACTGATCTAAGGCAACTTAATCCTCGTTGGACGGTCTTCCAGCCCAGGGTCTCTTGCTGGCCTTCTCCAATTCCAAGATACGAGCAATTGCGTGGTATGTATGATGGAAGCTGCAGCTGGTTCAGAGCAGCAGATGCAGTGTCAGAAAAAACTGGTACATGTACTTGTTGCCTTTCTCTGTTAGTGTTCTTTTTTGTTTGTGAGGTAGCCTCTCAAGCGAAGCCCAAATCACTTTGCTTTACCAGTGAGACGTGTATTTACTGGCATTTTGGAACTTCACTGTTTAGTATTTCTTACCCTTGTGTAAGAACTGGGATTCCAGAGCTTCTCTCGGTTATAACTTCACTCATTATTATCCTCATTATATGAACCGATCTGTGGAGCAAAGATTTAGGTAGCTGCTGTAAACAATGTTTTGAGTTGGTTTCAACTTAAAATTGTGATTGCCATAGTCATCTCTTTCTGTTGATCTCCACTCTTGGGAATCAAGTTTGACAATCTTATGAGAAGCTGGTCACAACTCACAACCATTCTCCTCTTTTGTGCATGGATCTTCGCTATGGGATCCTTTGTGATTGTGATGTCTTGATCGAATCAAAGGGAAAATCTTTTGCACTTTGTTTTCATATAGACATGTAATTTGACAGTAAGCAGATCAAGTTTTTTAATCTTTAGTCTGCTATCAAGTTCTTTGAAGCATATATATACTGATATCTTAATTTGGCCACATCTTTTTCTGTTCTTTTTGCAGAAGTTACTCCTATTTGCAATCTTCAAAGTGCAATATGTATTCTGATGAGAGATCGGTTGGACAAAATTACGATGTTCCTCAATAAGGAGAAGACTGAATCACGTTTTGAAGAGTTTAACAAGCTCGCTGAAGAGCTGAAGAGTTTAACAAGCTCGCTGAAGAGTTGATCGGGTTGAATAAATAAATATTTCCTCGCCCTGGATGCTTGCTCTTTCATTGACATGTTGTTTTCTAGGGTTTCATATTGGGGTTGTATATTTATCTTGGCAAGATGAGAAATTTAACGGATTAGAAAAACTAGCACTGGGCTTGGTCCGTTGCCAGGGAGTTTAGACCCGGAAACTACATTTCATTTATATGATAGATGCCCAAAAATGTGTGTAACATATATATATATATATATATTTTTTAACTTTTAGTTATGTGAGTTCTGTGGTAAGAGTATTTTGTGCTAAGTTGTGATTTAATCGTGATCCAATTGTTTTCTATTGTTAAAATCGCCTATTATTTAGAATTTGATATTGATATTTTCTGTGTGACTGACTGATACGTATAGGATTTATTAAACATAGATAATAATGATAATAAGAAGAGGAGAAATATGATGTAAGAAATAAATATAATTATTCAATGAAAAATATATATAAGTAATTGTCTTCACTATTTAGGTAGGTCATTTAGTTGAATATAAGATTTGCTTTTCATAATACATATATAATCAACTTTAAGGATAAAAAAAATGATTGGTTTCTGATAGAGTTGAATATCTGTCGATAGTGTTTATTCCAACAGACAACATCAATGTTGATCACAGCGATGGCAATGAATATGAAGTTGCATGATTTGAAATATATCATACATAATACAACGTTGCCACTATTCACTAATGGTTAGCTTGACAATGTATTGTGTACATGTGAATTTCGAAATTACTCTCATAGTGCATATATGACCAGCGACAATGTAGTAATTTTTCTACATCCAACATATATTTTTGGGTAAATATTAATGATTAGCTAAAGCTTTGGTGCATTCTTTTTTATTATCCATGCCTATTGAATTACTAATAATGAGTCGAATCTTTTGTAATGCATCAATTTATTAGCCATTTTTCTGTTATCGTTAACAATGTGTAATTCTTTACTTAGTTAAAATACTAAAATTTTGGAATGTTAATCTCCATATGTCTCTTTCAGGTTATTATTATATTGTCAAGTCAATATTACTAACAAAGTTGCTAACTGGAAGTTAACATTTGGCTAATTATTAGCAATTCAATAGGTTTGGCTAATAAAAAGAATGCAAGAAAGGTTTGGTTAATGATAATTTATTCTTAATTTAATGAAATTAATTTAATAAAAAATATGTATAAACATATGATAAAATTAAAGATAGCTTAATACAAAAATATGGAATTGCAAACCTACAAGCATTGGGTTTTGTCGTTGGCCGGATGAGTTTGATTCTTATGTATTGTGTATGTCTTGCTACATCTTATAATATATATGTTTACAAATAAAGTGCTTATGTTTGATCTTTGATATAGTCCGACAAATTCATAATTTTTTTTTTCAATATTTATCATCTTTTTTATCACAACAAATATTATAGATATGAACTTATATGATTTGAAAAGGCACGTTGCGAATTGAAAGTCACAAATGAAGGACCTAAATTGTTAGTTCCAAATTTGATATTCTACCTCGTACGTTCCTTTCATGTCATTGTTCTTCTTCACGTCTTCATCAATTCAACATAATTTAACATGAACCTGATTTTGAATGATGAGAGCGAGCAAAATTCCTAGCTTTTAACACTTAGGGACCGTTTGCTTTGTGGATTCGAAAGATGAAAGTTTTGCTATAACTTGTGTTTTGAAAAATCATGGATATATAAGGGTTTTGGGTTCATTATGGATTCGATAGACACCATTGTTTGTTTCATGGATTTCATGATGAATTTTGTTAATTAGATTTGTATGTATGAAGTGAAATGTACCTTTATTGTCCTCAACGATATGAGAAATGAAAGAAAACTTGAGCGGTAGGATGGTAAAAAATGATACTTCAAAGTTCAGAATCAATTCCCACCTAAAGAGGTGGGATTTTCAAATTCGTGGGACCCGCAGATTCGGACGCTCAAATTACATAGGTCCCACGAATTTGTTGCCTCTAAATATTTGAAACAAAGAATGGATTTTGGACAAAATCCATCACACACTTACCCATCAAATAACTAAAGAGGGGGTGGGAATGGTTTGTGTAAAGATTCTTGTACATTGCTCCAGTGGGATCAAGCAAGCTGAAGCTAGAATTAAAGCTGTCAAGCTGAGATTGAAACAATAGCTTTAATGGGTCGAGCGAGAACTTGATTTTGCTGGTTAAAGATCAATTCTTTTTTCGGTTCCCACAGCAGGAACGCAGCTGATTAGGTTTAGATGGGGCACAGTAAAGTTACGATCTTTCAGTCTAGTATAAAGAACTGGAAGAGCTGAGTATAAAGAATGGTGAAGTGAGAATTAGAGGGCTGGAAGAGCCGAGTATAAAGAACTCCAAGGGAAGTATAAGGCACTGGAGATTTTTTTTTTTAACAAAAGATAGCTTGCATTACCAAGAAGAAAAGATCACAAACGATTACAACTCCGAATGGAGCCAAGCTCAAAAATCGAACCCCTCAATAAGAGCGGGATACAAAGAAAGGGCTTTTCTAGCCACTCTATGGGCTACCCTATTGTTATCCCTGCCTACAAATCGAAGCTGCTCCCCCGAACCATCCGCCAACATTCGCTGAATCTCCTGCAACACAGCACCCCCACTGGAATCCCACGTACACCCTGCCATCACTTTGTCAATCACGACTTTCGGATCCCCCTGGTAGCAGACATCCTGGACCCCCATCGCCCGACACCACAAGATCGCCTCCCGAAGGGCCATCAACTCCACTATCATTGGGTCCGTAAGGCACTCGAGATTAGAAAGTTGGAGATTGAAGATAAAACTCAAATCTTTCGATGTGTTGCTTTTTTATACTAAAAATAAAGACTGAAAGTGACATTTTATCCATAAAGTAATGTATCTTATTTAAATACTACAATAATTATCACAGAAATCAAATAATGTAAACTACAATACACCAATTCTTTCATATACATATATATTATTATGCATATATTATGGAAATTGATGTTAGGGGTATAAACGTCAATTCAGTATTGTTTATGACATAAATTTTCAAAATTTAGGACGAGGAATAGCGATTCAGTGAGTTTTAACTGTAACCGAGAAAATTTTGGAAAACCCGGCAAAATTTTCTCGAATCACCATTTTCCCCCAACTTCCCTTTTTCACCTGCGTGCTTCTCAATTGTAACAGCCGCCGCCGCCGGGTTCCGTTTGTTTTTCCACCGCAACCATGGCGACCCGTAGGAAACGAGTCCTTCGCAACCGATCAGAAGCAAACCCTTTTCCTTCCGTGATCAGCAAATTCGGAGACGATGTCCTGATCGAGATTCTCATTCGCCTCCCGAACCCTAGATCCGCCTGTCGCTGCAAAGCCGTCTGCAACCACTGGAGGTCCTTGATCTCCGACAACCGCTTCAATCGCCGGTTTGTTTCTCACCACCAGACTCTGCACAAACAGCACACTCTGCCCCTTCACACGGACGACGCCACCGACCCACAATCAGTCATCATGAGCTTTCTCCCGCCCATGCCTGATAGAGTTCGAGAGTGTTTCAAAGTCCTGGATTGCTTCAAGGACATGCTTTTATGTGGGTTTGCGGATGTTAGGGGGGAAAATACTGAACTTGGGAGATCGTACGTGGTCTGCAATCCGTTTACCAAGCAATGGATGGCCCTTCCTGTAGCTCCTGAAAAGCCAAAGGATTATGCAGCCACGGTCACAAGGTTAGTCTGTGAACCCCGTAGTAGTAAAGGTCACTTTAAGCTTGATCTAGGAGATGATGAACAAGTATTTGCTTATTCGGAGTATCGGTTCCGTGTGGTGTGCATATATCAACACGAGACATCTATCAAACTGGATGTGTTTTGTCCGGAGTCTGGAAAATGGACGAAGGAGGCTGTTGTTTACTATGGTTATCACAGACTCTGCCACAAAAACGTATGTTCGTGCAATGGGGAGCTGTTTTGGTTGTGTGTTGAAGCCGGGAAGGGATACAATGCTGCAGAGTTGACAGTGTTCAAGGAGTTGAATCGATTCCCTGAGGTGAATCCTTTCCTGGCTGTGTTTGATCCCTTCCGCCTTGATACACACACAACGAGTATTCATGTTTATGAATACTCCAAGAATCTGAAGTTGGACATTTCGGTTTCGCAAGGTGCTTTGCACATAATTGAGTTTGAAATAAAACCTACACATGCTCGTTTAAGGGTTTGGAGATTGGAAGACGATCATGAGTCTTGGAGCGAACTCCCTGGAGGGTTGTTGGAGAGGCCATCAAGGTGTAACTATGAAATTAAGCACTGCAAAATCCTCGATCTGCATCCGGAGAAGCCTGAAGTTGTCTTCTTCCAGTATGTACCTCCTTCCGTCAGTGGTGATGCTATATTGTGCTGTGACCTAAGGAAGGGAGAGCTAGAGTTCGTCACTGATCTAAGGCAACTGGCTCCACGTTGGATGGCCTTCCAGCCCAGGATCTCTTGCTGGCCCTCTCCAATTCCAAGATACGAGGAATTGCGAGGCATGTACGATGGAATCTGCAGCTGGTTCAGAGCACCAAACGCAGACATCTCCCTCAATTCTGGTCCAGAGCAGAAATCAGCACCTCCTCCGTCGGCAAAAAGAACTGGTACATGTACTTGCTGCCTTTCTCTGTCACTGCTCTTTTTCCTTTGTGAATTAGCTTCTCAAGTCAAGCCCAAGTCACTTTGCTTTACCAGCGAAACGTGGTATTTCTATTTACTTGCAATTTGGAACTTCACTGTTTAGTATTTCTTACCCTTGTGTAAGAACAATGTTTTGAGTTGGTTTCAACTTAGAATTGTGATTGCATAGTCATCCTCATCTCTTTCTGTTGGTCTCCACTCTTGGGGATCATGTTTGACAATCTTATGAGAAGCTAGTCACAACCATTCTTCTCTCTTGTATTGCTTCAATGGCAAATCTCTGGCACTTTGTTTTTCATATAGACATTTAAGTTGGAAGTTTGCAGTTCGAGTTTTTTAATCTCTAGTCTGCTATCAAGTTCTTTGAATAGTATATATACTGATATCTTAATTTGGCCACATCTTTTTTCTTTTCTTTTTCTTTTTCAGAAGTTACTACTATTGGCGCTATTCAAATTGCATTGACTATTCTGATGAGAGATCGGTTGGACAAAATTAGCATGTTCGATTATGGGGAGAAGTCGGACTCACTTTTTGAAGAGTTTGGCAAGCTCATTGAAGAGCTGGTGGGGTTGACAAAACAAATCTCTCCTCGCCGTGGATGCTTGCAGTAACGACAATATTGAATCGACATTCTTCAACATTTAATCCTTAGGATGAAAAAGTGATGACAATGCGGCGGAGCGGGGCGAGTACCTCAATATTCATGTTTCGTCCCACGCTCCTACGGATCGGGCGGGTAATATCCACATAGGTATGAGGCGGGGTGAGTTGACTCACTCTTAGGGGTCGTTTGGTTTTGGCGATAGTTAAATAGATGCATTGTGATCAATGCATGCATAATAATAATATATATATATATACGGAAATTGGTATATTGTAGTATACATAGTTTGGTTTCTATGATAGTTATTGCGTTATTTAAATAAATTATATTACTTTTTGGAGAAAATGTCACTTTTACTTTTTGTTTTTAATAACAAAAAGCAACACATAAAAAAGTAAGAACATAGTTGGAAGAAGAAAACACAATAATCTCAATCAAACAATCTCACCAACAATTTGAGATTTAACTATCACTCATTTTGAGAGATAGTTTGTGTTACATCAAGCAAACAATGCAAGTATTGTTTGTGCAAATGGTCGCATGCGTTATAACTATCTCAATTCTCAACCAAACCAAACGACTCTTTACATATTATTTGGAAAAAATATACACAAATTTTTAATATTTACGATAAAACGAGAAAAAAACACTTTATGAATGAAAAATAGTGATAATATAATGGGTAATTAAGTGGTCTAACTAGTTGAAAGATCAAGTCTAACTAGTTGAAGAAAAATCAAAATAAGATAAAAATGAATAGGTACGATAAAATTTTGAGATAAAATGTACCAAAAATTTGTGTGGCGAGACAAGGCGGATCAAAAGTAGATATCTATGCTCTCCTCCGCGCTACTGCGATTGAGGTAATATTTGTCTCATCATGCTTCACGGGTTAGGTCGAGTGATTTACTATTGTGGGCTAAATTTAAAACTTATCTGGCTTATTGGATAACAGAAGCCCGGCCCAAATAACCACCGAGCGGGAAGCCCGGTTTGAGTTTTGACTGTAGCCGAGAAAATTTTGGAAAACCCGGCAAAAATTTCTCGAACCACCATTTTCCCCCAACTTCCCTTTTTCACCTGCTTGCTCCCAAGCTTTTCTCTCTCTGCAGCTCTGGCCATCCACCATGAGATGGGATATGGAGGTCGAAGAAATCGAAGCCGTCCTCGAGAAGATTTGGGATCTCCACGACAAGCTCAGCGATGCAATCCACACCATCTCCCGAGCTCACTTCCTCAACTCCATTAAGAACCTCCGGCGGCCCGACGCCAAGAAGAAGCTCTTCGGCGACGCCGTCGAGGACAGCAGGGGAGCTGGCGGCGGCGGAGAAGGTGGAGGGTACGTCTTTGTCAAGGAGCTCCGCGTCGACGATAACGAGTCTTCGATTCGAGAGGCTAAGAGCCTCAACGCCATTAGGGCCGCGCTCGAGAACCTCGGGGAGCAGCTCGAGTTCTTCCATGTGAGTTGTTTGAATTCCGCCTTCTAGGGTTTCATTCCCGTTTCGGTTAATTTGGTCTCCGGTGAGGGGAGAATGTTTGGTGGTGGTTAGTTAGGAATAAAATCTTCAGAATTAGGCGAATTCTGCTTTTCTTTGGCTTTGATTGGTCCCTGAGAAAATGCTGTTAGGAAAATCCGGAAATGAAATATCCTGCTTTCTGCGTATTCCTTTCTGAAATTGGAAGCAATGCTTAACCTGCTAGTGCTACATTGCCAATTCTTAAGATTTCGCGAATTATCGTACCAGAATCTGGGTAATTGTACTGTTTTAGGGTTTGGTGAAGCAGTATCAAGTTGAGAAAATTGATTCAGGTTGCAGTCAGATCGAAATTTGATTCTTAATATTCTTCTCCCCTGGATTTATATTTCGCAGACCGTGCAAATGCAACAACGGGCAGAGAGAGATGCAGCGATAGCACGACTAGAACAAAGCAGGATTGTTCTGTCACTGAGATTGGCCGAACACCATGGCAAGAAGTACAATGTCATCGAGGAAGCTCTGAGCTTCATTGGCGATGTACACGATGCTAAACGCTTCGTCTCCCCCGACAACCTGTACGCAACTCCTGAAAGTCCAGGCGGCGAGAAGGACCTCACCAAGCTCCGAGGAAAGACTTCGAATGTCCTGGTAAACGTACTTCTATCCAGTTTCGATTTCGCCAAGAGGTTGCTTCGACTGGATAATGCCGGTGGTGTGCTAGGAAATGCTGCATTGTTTGCCGTGAGCATGCTTGCATTGCTTCACATGCAGCAGCAGCAGCTGCAAGTAGCAACAGCGTCGAAAGGCGATGCTTATAGTAAACAAGCACAACACTTTCTGAGGAAGAAAGCATCTGAGAAACAAGGGTCATCTTCCGAATTGAATGTGATGTTGGCAAGGGGTTGAAGGCTGCAATTGGTAGCTGTTCTGAATAATGGCTGAGGCGGATCGAGATGTTTGATTGATTCCTGGAATAGATGCAAGAGTGAAGAGTTAACACACATGTTGTTTGGGCTGCCCTACTTTTAGGATAAGTTAATGAGTGATTTAGGGTTCTTGTTGCCAAGTTTTAACCCTCCCTGAGGAATCTTGTTTGTGTATATATAGAACAGTACAGTACTCCACTTGCTATTTGCTAACAAGCTTTCTAGTGCTTTGTCTTTACGTGTGTGCCAAGTTTTGTGCGATTCCTGGCCTTTCTATTTGGTGCAAGAATGTGTGGAAGGTGGACATTTGGGGTCCGCTTTGAATATTGGTTTATTGAGTGCCATATGATGTAAACAAGAGTTGGTTTGGCGGTTTGGTTGAAGTGAAATCTTCGAGTCGTTTTCAGTGAAAGGGATTGTTTAATTGGGCTTTTTTTGTTCGAGTTTTGGAGGGCCACAATGTTATGAGTCTTATCACAGTGCTGGGCTGAGTGTGCTTAACATGACCCTAGGCTGGCCACAAGGCCCATATAAAGTAAACCTTGCGGTTCATGATTCTGCTCCTAAATCCATGAATTTAGCCTTCTTGTTAGATTTCAAAGGGGAGGAATGCATTGGTCCGTCAAGCTCCGTTCTTATCGCCCCGAATATTGTTGTGGTTTGACTTCATTTCATAGTTAGTGAGTGTCGAATTAAGACGAAAAAAATAAAAAGGAGATAAATGCTTATAAGAAGCAAGATGAAAATAATAGTTGTAGAATCTAATTTTTTACGGGTAAATGCCACATTTGGTTACTGGGATTACTAAATCGTGTTATGTTAGTCACAATAAAAAATTAATATCAATTTTAGTAACTCGAATTACTAAAACATGTCACATTTAATCACTCTCTCGTTAGCCTCCGTCCAACTCCGTTAATGGAGTTGGACGAAAACTAACGGGAGAGTGACTAAATGTAACATGTTTCAGTAATTCGAGTGACTAATATTGATAGTAATTTTTTCTAGTGACTAAACATGACATAATTTAATAATCCTCAGCTTAACAAAGGTCTCGAAACCAATAATCTATGCTATAGTACAAAAAACGGAACAAGATCACTACTTTTACCATGTTTTAAAACATTGATGCTTCGAGAGGTACAAATCGTAGCTCTATCATAACGTTAAAGATACAAGTTCGAATTGTATCATAAGAGAACAATGCCTCTCCTATTTACTATCCTATTTTATATTCTGTAGAGAGGTAGTTGTGCTATTTCTGTAAACCGAATAAGAATCTGAACCTAACATCCAAACTAAACCCTGCTTCGAATCCGCCGGTTAATTAAAATGGAAAACCAAACCAGAATCACGGCGGCATGACGACGGCCATCGTGATTAATGCCATGATTTAATGGGCCGGCGGTTGGCGTGAAACCGGCGCGGCCCATGCCATTGAGCCATGGAAGAACCCAAGGACCGCCGGGTACGGATCATTTCCCCGTATGGAATCTTTTATTAATTAGGTTGATCTCATGGATTGGGTTCCTAATTAAACCGGTCAACCCGAATATCCGGATGGGGCCGATAAGAACCCATAATTGACCCTACATGAACCCTAAAGTGGACTCTAATCAGCCCTTAATTAGTCCAACATGATTCCAAAATTAGGTGCTCCCAATGTGGAATTTAAGCAAGAAAAAACAAAAATTTTAATAAGTTCAACAATTCCACCTGTGTTCTTAGCCACCTTTCTCACGCTGTCCACTAATCTTGATTCATTGGTTTGGGTTAGGTCAACACGTAATTTTACAGGTGGAAAAAGGAACACAACGAGTGGAAACTGGAAACTACAACGACAGTGAACACATCGAAAAGGGTTATGTCGGATGGGGAAAAAGATTTTGTTGGTTTCTTCTTCCCATGAAAACGGGTCTTGCTTTTACATTGTTTTGAAAGCAGAAAACAAAGAGGGGGGAGTGGGAAATTGCTTGGAATGGGGATTATATTGCTCCAAAAGGCAAACATCAAAAGTGTGTGTGAGACTTGAGAGAGAGAAGCATAGACAGACATTACAACTAATTTTACAGGTCACCGGAGTTATTCGTAGTATATTTCTAACCCTCTTATCATCAAGGATAAATTCTGCGTTTCGCCTCGTGAACTGTCCTGACATGCTCATCGAAATTCATTATTTTCTAAAGAAATAGTTTCTCGATATATATCAATTGAAAATTACCACGAGCAATAATTTTTTTTTATGAAGATGATTAACTTTATTAAAGCCCCCGAGCAGTGGGAAGAAAAACTGTACAAGAAACAACAAGTGGCAAGGTGCGACCTTGATCTAGAGGAGCACGAGCAATAATTATAGACTCTATATTTTTCACATAACTCTGCCAACGTAGAAGCACATAATTCACTTACCTTCACGTGTATAACTTATAATTTTACACGCTCTTATCAATTTTATCTACCCATCAATAAGATTTCTCACGTAACCTTATGAATTCAATTCATCAATCGCACGGCCGAAATCAAACATAGACTTCTTAATATTGTAAGAAGAATAATTTGACCGTCGGACACGAGTTTTCCTCCCCTATATATTTGTGTGGCTGCGCATGCACTCCATTTGACTTGGGATAGACGGCATGTCCGTCGGCCGACCTAAATTCTCATGGTCATTTCCTAATTAAGGATTTCTTATTCCCTCTGGATTATTTTTATCAATTGAAATACATAACGTGAAGAACAAACAACAACTAGAACCATAATGCAACCTTTTTTTTTTCTTCTAATTGTGTACTATTTCATTATTCATTTGATGTTGTTGTGTCTGCTGTCTCCTTTTCCCTGTTCGTAATCTTAATGGGATCCTAAGTAGGGACAAGACAGCACCACTCTCCACTTAATTATAATTTTTTTATTTCCCCACATTTGACAATTCAAAGCCTCAAGTCAAACGTTTTTGTTATAATAAAACAGCCATCCAAAGCCATCCAACTTTCCGTTCATTTGCCGGCCGGTTTCACTCCAAAAGAAAAGGACGATTAGATTAAACCACTAGGTTTAGGTCATTTACCTGCATGCTATAATTAATTAAAGCTGGCTTTACGTGAAAGGCTATAGTTGTCAAAAGGATTATATATAAGTAAAAAAGTCAGTTTCAGTTAAATGATTAATTAAGAAAAAAAAAACAGGTCAAAGTCGTTAAATCTGGTGAATGTGATGTGCTCGAGACGAGAAAAGTCAGCCTTTTGATGAGTAGGATTTATTAGTCAACTATAGCACATTCAAATTAATAATCCAAAGCGGCTTATTCATTTATTGATAAAGAATTTGGATGAATTATTGGGAAATTTTTTAACGGTGGAAAGCATGCGATGCGGACTAGTTTGATAGTTGTCGCTTCTACACCGCGAAGTATGTGACGACTTACGATTCTTCAGAATTGTTCTTACAGCTTTGAGAAGGAGAAGAAAAAAATGTGTTGAAAATGTCAATTTTGCGAACATAAGTATTGTAGTAGTAGTTATTGATAGAGAAAGTGAGTGGTGGCCATTTTCAACATCTTACTTCACTCGAATTGGATTCATAGTTCGGTTCGCTCCGTATAACTCGACGACGCATTGAAACAAAGAAACTTCTAAATTTCTCTACGATGAAGGGAAGTTCCAAATCCTTATATATAATTGCCAGTTAAATCGTGGTGGCCGATGATTTCACAACACAGAATCCGATCAAACCACAACCATATGAAATGCAAACTATTATTAATCACCGCATCAACTAATTAACTAACTTCAAGCTCATATTCGGGTACACACATATTAGGTTAGGAATGTTAGTGTGTGGAATATGATTCACGATTGAACCTCTTCCAATAACTCGAGTTATTGAAACTAGCTAGTTCTTGACAAAAAAAAAAGCTTGAATGTTACAAGTTACTAGCCGGTGGATTCTCATATTCGAGGACATGTACATTTGCTGTTTCACAATGTTCAAACATTGAATAGGGCAGCAATTGGCCGGAGGATCGAAATCATCGTCGTGCCGACGACTTGTCGGTCGGTAGTAGGTGGTCGTGAAAAAACTGAAAAAGTAAAAGGAAACTGGCAGTTGGCTTCCACCCAAACTGAAAGAGAAATTTCATCTGTTTTTTCCCTACTGTAGTGACGACCGTCCAGATGAGGGCTGACTGCCACGTGGCACGGCTCAGCCGTTGGATCCCACATATGGGTCCGGTTCCACGTGTCCGACACACACCTGAATCTCTTCCCGCCATTTCCCATCCCTTTCATTTATACACTCATCACTAGTTCACGGTGGTGACCATAATAAAAGACTTCCCTACCAAATCTATCTAGTGGGTAACTAACTGAAAAATAAGGATCTTCACTCGATCAAAATTGGGGCTTGTTTTTCAATTTGGTGAGCTGCCCCATGTCATGTCAGACACTAAAAGCCCCATTTTCTTATATCATATTAATATATTGTAGGAAATAAAATTATACAGGAAAAAGTGCGAATCAGACTTTTATATATAATTTTGATGTGATCTTATTAAGGAATTGTCGAGTCTCCACGCGAGCTGATGAACAAATCGGCCGGGGAAATTACAATGTCTGTCCATAGATGCGTGGAGATGCAGAAGATCCGATCTCAACATAAGAGACCGGTACCCTGATGTGCAGGCGGATTCGTCTCTGGCTAACAAAAGCGATATTGTCGTTGTATGTACGTAAGAATCGTTTCGTAAGGCTAACGCTGGATGAGCAAGATACATATAGAAGGCCGATTTGGAGACCCTAATGACCTACAAATTTTCGCACATGCAAACAACGGAAATGTTGATACAGAAGCAAACGACTCAGCAGCATGCATCGATTTTCGGTTGATCACCCAAAACGATAAATGGTTGGACCGATGAGTTCCCTCTTATGGGCCCGGTTATAAGTGAGCAGCCCATGGCCCACAAGGGAAGGGGTGGTGCGAAAAAAGTCATCAGTGTCATGGGTGAAATCTTCATGTGCAATGGACTGGGCTCGAAATCGGCGACCCAATGAATGCGGGTGTGTGTGATTGTGTGGGGGCCGGCCGGACGGCCGGCCGGCGGGGACAGTAAAGTGGTTAGGAGCCGGTCGCCGGCCGGTACAATCAGGCACGTGGTGTGGGGAATCAAAAAAAACTTCAAAAGCCTTGGCCACTTGATCATTGAATGTAATGGCCAATAGTCAACCGTCCGATCGATGAGATGGTTCAACCAAAAAGGAAAAAGGCTCGAAATTATGATTACCAACATGCATCTTTACCAGTCGAGAGGTTGAAACGAAGTCGTGAATTCTACTACTCCAACTCCTTGCATGTGTATTATTCGATTTCCTGTTCCCAACTCCATGTGGGTTTGGTTGATAAATGTTTATTTCTG